ATTCATTAACAACTCCACGCAAATAAATTCAGCAAGTTGTACAAAATGGAGTAATTCTATGGAAGGCAAATTAGCAAAGTTCATGCAACTTAGTTAACCTGAATAGTCCTGTATTTAAATGAAGTGAACACACAGTTTAAAACTTTCCCACTTTAAAAAAAAGAGCCTCCCTGGTGGAGCAGGGATTAAGACACAACCTATGAAGCTGTCTGCAGCCTCTGCAGCCACTGCAGCACAAGTTCAATCCCGACCAGGGAGCTACCCACATGGCGCAGCAGACCTTTCCTGACTCACCCGCTGCTCCCCTCAGAAGTGTATTTCAGTCAAGCTGCCTGTTCTGCTCCCCACTCTGTCTCTGGTGAATCCTCTCACCCCCCTACCTCTGGCCTGTATCCTAGTTCTTCTACACAAAAATAAATATTCTTAAGAAAGACCCATATATTTTACTGTGAATTGCACCAAACATTTAAGAAAGAAATAATAGCAAAAAAGAACAGAAATAGCATCATCTAGGATGTTTAGCCTAATATTAGGAACAAAGTGAAGATGCCTGCTCTCATCACTTCTATGCACGCTGTACTAGTCTGTCACAGGAAAAAAAAATGGCATCCAGATAGGAAAAGAAGTAGTCTATATACAAAATATAGTGCTTTCTACAAAAAAGCTATTAAAGCTAGTGAGTTTGGCAAAGGTGCAGAATACAAAAGCAATATACAAAAAATAGTATATATTCCTATACACTACCAACTGGAAACTCAATTTTTTAAGTAACCTTTATAATAGCCCCATAAAACATGAAGCATAAATTTAATCAGAAAAATATAAAATGTACAATAAAAAATAAAAACACTGTGGAGAGAACAGAAATTATATTCACGAGTGAAAAAACTCAACATTATTAAAATGTCAATTTCCTTTAACTGCACTATAGATTCAAATGGATTCCAATAAAATTCCAACAAACTTTTTTTTGTAGAGACTTATATGAAAATATAAAGCAACAAACAAATTCGAAAAAGAACAAAGTTGGAGGGCCATAAGTACCTGATTTCAAGACTTAATATAAAGTTATATTAATTAAAACTGTGTTTTTGGCATCTAGAAAAGACAAAAATAGGTGAGTAAAGTAAATATAGTTCAAAAACAGGATTGTACATAGAGAAATAACTGACTTCTGACAAAGATACAAAGCCAATTCAATGGAGAAAAGGTTGGTTTTTTTCAACAGATGGTGCTAGAGAAAGTGGCTGTTCATTTCCAAAACCAAAAAGTGTTGATTCGTAATTCTGTACCATATTCAAAGAATTAACTCAAAATGGAACACAGAATTAAATCTAAAACCCAAACCGATAAAACCACTTTTAAAAGACAGAGCAAAGATGGCATACAAGGCACCAAAAGCATGACACATAAAAAGAAAAAAACTTGTAAACTTAAGTTCTTAAGGCTTAAAAACTGCTGCTCAAAGATAATGTTGAGAGAATAAAAAGTGGCAGAAAATATTTACAAACCATATATTTGATAAAGGAAACCACCCCACTTAAAAAGTAGGTGAAAGATTTAAATGTACTTCACCAAAGACTGGTGGCAAAAGTATCAGAAAATAATTCTACATCATAGACTTTAAATTAAAACTACAAGAGCACAACGTCATACCCACTAAAATGTCTGTTCACAAAGAGACAATAAGTAGTAGTAGAAAGGAGGGGGTCTCCCTGGTGGTTCAAGGGGTTAAATCTCAGCACTATGAAGCTAGCCACAGCCACTGAGGCCTGAGAGGCTCCCCAGGCAGGGAGCTAGCCCACATGGCACAGCAAACCTGTCCTGTCTTGCCCGCTGCTCCCTTCAGCAGTGCCTTTCAGTCAATTCGCCTGTTCTGCTCCCCATTCTGTCTCTGGTGAATCCTCCCACTCCCCCACCCCCCACATACACACCTCTGGCCTACACCCCAGTTCTTGCATAAATAAATCTTATTTTTAAAAAAGTATTAGAAAGGATGTGAAATCTCATACTCTATGGGTAGCAATATAAAATGGTACAACCACTTTAGAAAATAGCTTGCAATTTCCTTAAAAGTTAAAGTCATGCCATGAATTGGTGATGGGAATTTTGAGGGTACTACAATTGAAAGGTGAAAGCATGCATTGTACAAAACATAAGAACAGTGTACTATATAAATTTTTTTTTAAAAAAAGTTAAACCCATGCCTATATGATCAGCTAATTCAATCATGGATATATCCCTGAGAGATATATGTTCACACAAAAACTTGTGTAAGAATGTTCACTGCAGGCCTCTCTGGTGGCGCCGGGGTTAAGTCTCAGTGCTATCAAGCTCTCTGCAGCCACTGCAGCATGAGTTTGATCCCTGGAGCAGGGAGCTAACCCACAGGGCACAGCAGACCTTTCCTGTCTTGCCCGCTGCTCCCCTCAGCAGTGTATTTCAGTAGATCTGCCTGTTCTGCCTCCCCACTCTGTCTGTGGTGAATCCTCTCATTCCCCGTCCCTGACCTACACCCCAGCTCTTGTACGCATACATCTTTTAAAACAAATTATGTTCATTGCATCTTTATTTATAGTAGCCCAAAACTGAAAACAACCCAAATAGCCATAAGGAGTTGAATGGATAAACAAACTGTTGTATATCCATACCACATAATATTACTAAGCAGTAAGAAGGGACAAACTATTGCTACAACATGGCTGAATATCAAAATAATTATATGAGTGCAGTAAGACAAAAAAGGTAGAAGTCATATTATGGCCATGATTATATTTATTTAAAATTCTGAAAAACTGAAACTAATCTATAGTACAGAAAGCCGATCAGTGGACAAAGAAAAGTAGACCCAGGTCCACACCATTTTTGTAACCCCAGGGAGGGATTGCAAAAGGTTCAAAATAATACTTTTGGGGATGATGGATGTTCATTACCTTAATTGTGGTGATGGTTTTATAGATGCATAGACGTCAAGACATCAGTATAGCTTAAATTTACAATTTACTGCACTTTATCTCAATAAAACTGTTTTGTGTAAAGGTAAAATGTAAACCAGTAATACAATCGAAATCCTTTTGTGTAAATAAACAAGAATATTTATATGTGGCATAATATGTAATTAATAATTTCAGGGGAAAATACACCAGAATAATTTAACACCATTACCTTTGTCAAAGAAGACAGACTAGGAATTGGGCAGGAAAACTTTCCATTTTGAATTTTTTTAAACTAGGCACTTGTACTGCTATTATTAAAAATAGTTTTTTTTAAAAGGGTTAATTATTTATACTTAGGTCTGACACCAACGCAAAAATTCTCTATCACAATCATAGAAAATTATGTAACGACTTTTTTCAAATTTTTATATTAAATAACATGTCAAAAATGGTTAGCAATTTTTTATTATATATTCTAATTTTTCGTGCTCAAACTATTAATACAGAGAACTGGTATAAACAATAAACCTTATTTGTACATCCCATCCCATGTATCCTCATTACTCTCTGCCTACTCATTTTAGGTCTTGTCAGAGTTCCTTTTCTCCTTACCCAAAGATAGTGGACAACTCAGACTCATAACATACTTCACAAATAAATTAACTTCCAGATGCTACTGTTTGGATGGCAACTACAATATCAAATCTTGCACTGTTACACGATTCCTAATGTCAAATCCTACAACTACTCAACTTAACACCATTGTTAATTAAAAATAAGTATGTCCTGGGCCTCCCCTGGTGGGGCTGCGATGCTCCCCACAGCCTCTGCAGCGCTGGTTCAATCCCCGGACGGCCGCAGGCGAGGGTCCCACATGGCGCAAGAGACCTCTCCTGCCAACGCCCGATGCTCCCCTCAGCAGTATATTTCGTCAGTCTGCCTGTTCTGTTCCCCACTCTGGCTCTGGTGAATCCTCTCACCCTCCCGCGCTTCTGACTGTACCCAATGCTTGTATAAATAAATAAATCTTAAAAAAAAAAATGGACAAATATCTAGCTCACTACAGAGCAGAGTGCAGAAAATCAGCAAGAAAACATATCTCAAAATATTCTAGAAGATACCACAGCTACAGATGAAATTTTAAGAATTCCAAAAAATAGTCTGAATAATCAGCATCACTGGACTAAGCACATAAAGCCTCTCAAGACTACTCACATTTAACAGGAAGAAATACACTGCATCTGACAAGTACTTGAGTAGTAGGCTTGGAAGATGTGCCAGACTTGGAAAATTTAAAAGATGTAAGACAAAAACCAAGCCCTAGTAGGGGAGGTAGGCTCTCAAACAAAAATTGTAACACAGAATGACATTAAAGGACTCAAAGAAATCAAAGGCCTAAGCAAGCATTAGAAGGCTTAAAGGAGTAGTTTTCCTGACCAAAAAGTGAGGAGCCTAGTCTCTACCATGAGGCCTAACTTCCTTTAATAGAAAACCAGCTCTTAACTTGTGACTCCAATTTGAAGTTAATTGCCTAAACAAGTTTCTCCTCATTTTAAGGATCAGGATAGCAGACTTCTATTGTGGCTTAATATTGACAAAACTATTTGTCTTCACTGAACAAGAGTAACAACAAAAAAAAATCTTAGATTAATAAAATTTTATGATTTAGGTCAAGTCACTTATCTGTTCATTTAAAACATAATTTCGCCTCAAAAAATTGGGTTAGCATTTTATAGTCACAAGGAGCTCTGTCTGAAAGCACTTTTAATTCCTTGAACACCATTCACATTGCTCTTAAGATGTTATTCTGACAGACTGCAGTTCTAGAAAGCTCATGGTTGTCTATGTTGATTTTAAACTATATAATCCAACTTTCAGACTTAAATGAAACACCTTATCCATGGATTCTGTTATCTATATTATGGTTTCCAAAAGTTATCCCAACCATGTAGAGTGTTGTAAACCAATGTTAGCTCAATTTTAAAAAACTTAAGTGACAATTTGTATTTAATAGGAATAGATTCAACATTAACACTTTTTGCATTAGTTTCAAACTTTTCCTACCTTCACGCCAACTGCAACCTCAGTGACAATTCTGTAAAGAAAAAAAAAGTTTCAACCTGTTATTGTTTAACTCAACCTTTTTAGGGTAGTTTATCATTGAAACAAACGCCACTCATATAGATAGAAAACATGATGGCGACACTTTGTAATATTACCAACTTTGTGTTCTAGAAAGGACTTCCAAACATAAAAACAAGTCACTGAATTTATGGTATTTTAACACCACTTAAATAGCAAAAAAGAACCCAATCCCAAACACTATATGGTATTTCCACAAAGCTAGTACACGGAAATGAATAATTTCAAAGTTAATTCATTGGCCATCTTCATACAATCACGGAACAGGAATTTCTTAAGTTTTCCACCTATTTCCATGTTGATCTGGGGGAAATACTAAACTACTCTGCAGTTAGTTTCATCTGGAAAACACAGTCCCGAGTTACCCTCTAGGATGCTTTAAGTTTGTGATTCTGTTAACTTTTAAGGGATCTTTATGTACTAGCTTTCAGGAACGTGGAACTCCAAACACTTCAACTAATAATTTACTTCTGACTCTTCAAATACTTGTCACTGATTCTTCAAAAAAAAAAAAAGTACTTTTCAAATACTGTTTTTCTACCCCCTCAATGAGCTGAATACAGTTCTAGCTTCACCCCCCAGGAAACCTCCTTCCTAACAATAACTCATTGCTATTAAGTCTCTGCAGATGTGGGGTGTTAAGCACCCGAGAGCCCCACGTCCACATCACTGCCCAAGGCCCTGGCTCACTCAGCACACCGTCTCCACCTGGCTCTCAACTATGCAGCTCGGTGTCGGGGCTCCGCAGTTGTTTCCATTTGTCCAGAAACCGCTCCAAGTAGCGAAAGAGAGGGCCCTGGGCTGACTCCCTGGGTCTTCGTCCTGCCACGGCTGCTGGCCTCGGCCCATGTCTCTGCTGTCGGCCACAAACGCTCCGTTTTCTCGATGATTCAATGTCTGGGCCCTTTCGCCAAGCCCCGACTGTTCGTAGGCCCCACAAAAAGGCATTTTCCTGCCTCCCGCCCCCACTCCCAGACTCAAGTGAAAACAAAGGAGTATGACATCTGCCCTCCCCTCCTCCCGCCGCCGCACGCCTCCCCGAACCCCCCTTCCCCAGCGGCTCCCCCTTGCCCCCCCCCGAGCTCCCACCACCCCCATCTCCCCCCGTCAGGGCACGGCGAGCCGGCCGAGGTCGGGGAGGTCCGCGGTGGCGGGGTGCGCTCTCATCCCCCGCAGGACCCCGCACGCAGGCCTCTCTCCCGCCACCACACTCGCTCCCACGGGCGCCGCCACCACAGGGTTCGGGTCCCCGTTTACGGATCGAAATGGCTCCTCAGAGGGGGGCAGGGACGGGCGAGACGTTCTGGGGTGCCCACCCCATCCCCCGCCGCCGAGGAGTGCCCGCTGCCACTCTGGGGTTGAAGGCCCCGCCATCCCCCCCAAAGCCTCCCGAGCCTGCCCGCCCGCTTTCTGCCCGTTTTCTCGCCAGAGCCCGCCGGGGAAGGCAAAGGGAGGGGTGTGTGCGATGGGGCGGGGGTTGGGTAACGGCAGCCCAGCCCTGGGAGGGGCCGCCGGAGGGGTTCTGCCCGACCCGGAGCCCGGCCCGAGGAGGGTCCGACTCCCCTCACACACACCTCCTCGCGGCCCCGTTACTTACCCGTCCATTGCCGAACCGGACAAAGCTTCGCTCACAAGAACCGAGCCACGCAGCCAGCGAGACACACAAGCGGCGAGAAAATGGCGGCCAGGGCCCGACGGAAATTGCCGAAGGTGCGGGAGCGCACGGGGCAGCGCGCGGCAGCGGCGGCGGCGGAAAGAGCCGAGCGCGCCGGCGCCCGGGCGCGGGAAGCCAGCGGCGGGGCGCGGGGACGAGGGGGAGTGGGCGCCGCCGCCCTGGCCGCCTCCGCGCCGCTGCGCGCCCAGGGCCCTCCGCCCGCCTCTGCGCGTCCTGCGGACCCGGGCCTGCCGCGACGGAACTCGGCGTGCGGGTTCCTTTTGTGCGCGCCTCTAAGACGTCCCCGTTATCCTCCCCGGGCGGGGGGGGTGTGGGGGGGGAGACACCCCCAAATCGCTTCCTCAGGCGCGGTCCTGGACTGCAGGGGACTGTGCCCAGGTCGCCTCCCCTTGGAAAGTCCCGTTTTGACTTCCCTGGACCTGGGAGGACCAAGAAGAAAGTCTCCGCTAGCTTTTTCCTTCTGTGTCATCTTTTATTTGCAGACTCTTTGCAGCCTTTTAAAGAAACTTTCTACCCCACTGGAAAACACGACTTAGGAAAAACACTATACAGAGCTCGTGGGTTTCGGCAGACTGATTCAGGCTTCTGTTTCCAGACACTTGAAGTTCAGGCCAAGTGTGGAAAGATATTCTCACCTCAATTTGATGATTCCAGGCTCCCACAGGAAATATTCACACCCTGACACCCTGGGGGGGGAGGGGACACAGATTGAATGATGTGTTAAGGAATTGGGTCTAAAAATGCTACCAATAGTGAGAATCTAATATTTGGGAGGGTGAAAGGGGAATGGGAGGCTTTATTGGGTAGAGAAACAACCATTAAAATTGGCTACACAAGCTGAGTCCTTTTTCTGGATTAGTCTTACTGTCTCAATTTTATTTTTTTAAAAGATTTATTTTTTTTATTTATACAATAGCTGGGGTACAGGCCAGAAGCGCGGGAGGGTGAGAGGATTCACCAGAGACAGAGTGGGGAGCAGAATAGGCAGATGATGAAACACATTGCTGAGGGGAGCAGCGGGCGAGACAGGAGAGGTCTGCCGCGCCATGTGGGTATCTCCCTGGCCAGCTGAGAATTGAACCCATGCTGCAGAATCTGCAGATAGCTTTACAGCACCGCTCTCAACCTGCTGCACTACCGGGGAGGCCCTGTCTCTATTTTAATTCTAATAGCATGTTGAACATTTTCGTGTAATGTTTTTAATTACACAGGTTGAAAAGATTTGCAAAAGCAACAGTTTTGGAAAACTGGCTGAGTGACTGAATACTTTGTCAGCATCCTATCCTTTCCTGTCTTAACCTCCAACCAAATACAAACACATCTCATCCTGCAAAATGAAAAAAATATACCCTAGATCTTTCCAGTTACTGCCCATTCTGAACTTGCTGTCTCTTAACCTTTTACTTACTAGAATTTCACTAAAATTTCTATATAATCAGAAAATTGCATTTTTTTTTAAGTTGGGGAAAGCGTTAAGGAGCAATATGCCTAAATATTTGTTATAGAACTCATTTGAAAGCATTCAAATGCTAAATATTCTTGATTTGCTTCAGGGATTAGCAAGACTTTAAAAAAAATCATTTTGCTAAGCTGCCCTGCCTTGCCCTTGACTATTGGTTTATGATGCATAAAGGACCCATTATCAGCCATTAATAATCACTTTTCACATATTTGTGGTTTTGTACATGTATCTTCATTCAACAATTAAATATGTAAGCTCCCAAAGGGTAGGAACTCTAGTATAACTTTGTTTTCCCCACATTGACTCAATCAATGCTGATTGATTGGTTCTTGCTTTATCTTGGCAAAGACAAACTGTTCCATGAGGGGAAGCCTATCCTTAGGTGGCAAGAAAAATTAGAGTATTCACAAAAATACATTTTTCTTTATTTTTTTCTTCCTAATTATGTACAAAACTACAAACAATAATCAGTGCACTGATGTATTTAAACAGTTTGTGTTCCAGAAAAGATTTAAGGTTATTCACAAGTCACTACACATAAGATATTAGAGGAAATAAATGAAGTGAAATAAAAAGAAATAAAAATCTAAAGAACAAAATATAGATAATGTATCTCACAAAAGCAATTTAAAATTTGGGTTAAAGTTTGGGTTAAAAATGGAACTTTTCATATGGGTAACATTAGGTTTGTTCATTAACTTCTCCAGCAAAAGGTTTCTTTTACTAAAATAATGAAATTTCCTTTACTGAAATGAAATGGCATTAAAAATACTCTTCATCCTAGATGGCTGTGAGGTCTAAAGTCTTAATGTATGTAAAGCCTGAGCCTAGCTTAGTGATGGGCTAGAGTAAATACTTAATAAAGGCTGCTATCATGATCCTTATTATTTTTATTAGCTATTATCACTCAATTAAGAAGGAATTCATCACATATTTGGCTCTTACATTTTAACACCCAACAATATTCATATAAATAAATCTATATAGGGATTTTCGCAAAGGTTAAACATGTCACCAAAGTAATTAGATTGGCTGGCATCTAGTGGAATAAATCTGGGAAAATGTCATAGATAAATTTCTAAAACCTTTTCCAAACCTAAATTTGTATGATTTTATGAGTTAACCAGGGGTAGATTATTAATCTCAACATTAGCAGATGGTGAATCTTTGTAATATATGACAAGATTATATTAGTGTTTATGGATTCCTAACAAAATAAGGTAATAAAAAATGAAGTGCCTGTACCGTTTTATTTTCATACCCATATCTTTTTTCAGCATAATGATTTGTTCTTCCCCTTCCAAATAGTAAATGTTTTGACCTTTTGCAGAGATTTACACTTATGTGAACAATGATTAAACCTGAATTTCAGTATATGCTATGCCAAAATGAGGTCTAATATTGATGCAACAAAAATAAGAAATAGGATCTCACTCATAAAGCTCTGATTTTATTACCAGCCCCACTTATCATCTGCTTATAAGCCTAAAGACATCATGCAACTTTTTCAGGTTGCACTTTCTTATGAGAAAGGGAGATGGTGATAGGATTAGATCAGTAGATAATATTTAATTTGGGTATGTATTCTTGAATAAGTGATATAAACTCAAAATAGAAAAACAAATTTATGAACCACCAAAGGCATTTACAAAATGTCTAGAAAGAGCAAATATATAGAGACAGAATGTAGATTAGTGTTCTGCCTGGGTAGGACCAGGAATAAAATGGGGGATAGCTATAAGTGGACAGGTTTCTTTTCAAGAGAATGGAAATATTTTATTTTTTTATTGGTGTAACATTGGTTTAAAACACTGTATCTGATTCAAAGGCATAGGATCACACATGTTCAGATGTATGTTACCACACCATACCTGCCACCATGACTTCCTCAGCTCTCCAGCATAGTCCATTCTGCTTCCCCTTACCTGTCTCCACATTGTATCTTCAATTCCACAATCAGATTTCTAGGTTTATTGTTGGTTTGGTATTCTCTGACCATGTGTTTAGTTTCCACATAGAAGTGATACCATCTACTGTTTGTCTTTCTCCTTCTGACTTATTTTGCTTAGTATTATCCAGTCCAGTTCCATCCATGCTGTCACAAGTGGCAAACGTTCACCTTTTTTTAAAGAGCTGAGTAGCATTCCATTGTGTGTGTGTGTGTGTGTGTGTGTGTGTGTGTACACTTAGGCACTTAAGTTGTTGGGAAAATGGAAATATTTTAAAACTAGATTATGGTAATAGTTGTACAACTTTAGAAATATACCAAAAATCATTGAATTAAATACTTATGAATTTTATAGCATGTAAATTATGTATCAATAAAAAAAGAAAAGTATATATTTTATAATCCTGTTCCCCAACTACTACATCCCATGTTCTAGAGGGACCCAACATACCAGTTTATCACATATTCTTCCAGAGGTATTCAAATGCATATAGTGATTACACACATAGGTTTTCCTTTTCATTCCAAAATAGTGACTATTGTCCAAAATGTTCAGCAACTTATTTTTTAACTTAAAATATCTTAGATATTTTCTTATTAGTACATTTAAAAATATTGAATTCTTTATATAAGGCTGCCTAACATTCTACTAAATAAATGAATCATGATTTATTTATGAGATCTTATTGGTGAACTTTGAGGTGGCCACCAATCTTGCTATTTACAAACAATTCTAAGTGGTTGTTTTTTTTCCAAGAAAAAACATGGAATTTATAGATCAAAAATAACTGCATATACTGAGCAGAGTTTTACACTATTGTTGGCAAGATAGGGCATAAAATTAATGGAAGGTATATGGAAAAAAAATTTTTATAAGCTAACTGCATGATTTTAAAAAAGTGATTAGAAGATATAGTACATTCTGGGAGTGTACTATGGAAGAGAAGTGTGTATATCATAGGAATATAAATTCTCATATTCCGAAGTAAGAAGTCAATAGATAATGTCTGAATGATAGGTAAAAATATAGCAGATGAGCATATTATTCAGAAGCATGAAGTTAAAGACCAGGAGAATCAGAGAAAGGAAGTGAAAAAGTGGTTGTTTCTGGGGCATGGCACTTGGGGATAAGAAAAGGATGAGACAGAAAAGTATTGTTTAGGTTTTGTTTACTTCATGATAAATCTTCCAGAACTATTTACTTTTTAAGCTATGTGCATGTGTCACTTCGATAAAAATAAATTTTACATTTAAAAAAGAGAGGATTAGATGGCAGCAAGCAATGGACTGTCTTAACACAAACACTGCCTCTTTTGTATTCAGCAAAAGTGACTGCTTATCTACATGTTCACTGAAAAAAGCTCAGCATAGCTGGCTGTCCTTCCTGTACTGTGCGTATAATAAAGATTATTCTTAGATGAGAACACAATGGTTGGTGTGGATCAGCAATTTTTAGAATGATTATGCATAAAGAACTAAACTGGGAGAATAAAAACAGGTAAGGAAAAAATACATGGAAAAGTAAAAGATGAAAAAAATGTTAAATGCAAAGGAAACATCATTTTGCTTTAAAATATCATAACTATAACATAAATATATTGCAAGAAGCACATATAATTTATGTGAAATTTA